CATACAATAATCATATATTAAAAGACAAAATATTGGAAAACGACAATGTGGAAAATGATGATTGGATCTTGATATAAATAAAACGTAATATTAACTGCCAGAAGAGTCTAGGAAAACGGAAGTAAAGTAAGGTAGGACCTAATAAAATAATATAAGGTAAGGAGTAATGACACCAATTATGTATCGGGAACAGGAAAACAAGTATAAAGTTGTAGTATCACACTTAGTCAGTGTTAGTAGACGGATGCAGGATGAACATTATAAACGATAACTATTGTATCATTTTACTTATTATACTTTGAACCATAGTGTAAAAAAACTGGTCTTTCTCTGATTAAAGTCCCTTCGAATTAAAGATCACTTTCAATTAAAGAACACTTTTCTGTAAGCTTCACTTTCAAATAAGGATCAATTTTCTGTGGTCCCCAATTCACAAATATCTTTTATCTTTTTTATTTTTATTGTAGTTATAGACCAAAGCTGCTAAATGCCATGCAAAACTCCTGTCCCAAAGAGAAGTCTTTAATTAGAGGGAGACCTGTAATCTTAATTTAAAGCCAAATAAAACCAAAGAAATTATTTTTAGCTTATAATCGGAAAAAGTTAAAATACATACATATTTAGGAACTACAATTGACAACAAACTGAACTAGAATGCACACATTGATCATATCAGTAAGAAATCTAATTCAATTTTTAAATCGTTTATTTTGGAATCAAAATTGTCCATAATACTGTACAAAATAATATATGGGAAAAAGAATAAGAGAAATTGAACTAACAAGAGAAACCCAACAGTTATCATGTTAGGACTTGGTTTTAATCAGTTAAGCGCAAAAAATGTATCACAACTCAACAGTGAAGTACATTATTCCAGGTATGCCAAAACTGTCTTAAAACATACGCTCTTAACACGTATAAATAAGTATTTATATTTCCTTAGTTAGAAACCCCAAGTCATTCCAAGCAAAGTTAATAGTGATATCCTTAACCTCTTTTTAGTAGTAGGCCTACTTTTTATGTGTACGGATTATAATGACTTTGTTGTATGGTATTCTAATCTTATCATTTTAACAAGGAGAAACACCAAAGAATAATGATACTTGAAAAAATATTTAAAAGAAACATCGGCAGCTTATGAGAATTACACAACATATGTGTATTATGTAATTTATAAGATAACTAAGGACTTGTCTCACCCAGTGAATAACATTTTACTCGCACAATAAATCAGGCAGGCTTCATGCCCTTAAATAAAATTCTAATAGATCAAAAAATTCTTTCATTAACAACTCTATTATAAAGTAAGTATTATAATAAAACTTTCAACAGATAATTTATATACTTATTTTTAATAATTTAAATGATACGAATATCATAGTGATTCTTGTAAGACGCAAGATGAAAGGCCGTATTCATATAAACTTATGAAAATATGACGTACCTATTATTCGTTATCGTTTTCTTACTTGGAAAACCTCATTTTCTGCTACAATCATGTGTGCTGAAATGGAGTTAAAAATTTAGTGATTAAGATACTTGACTTCTAATGCCCGGGTCCTGAGTTCTATTCCTGTGTCAGCAAGACACAGGAATTTACGACTAAAAACAGTTCCACTTCCTAAGCCTCATAATAATAATAATAATAATAATAATAATAATAATAATAATAATAATAATAATAATAATAATAATAATAATAATAATAAAACCGATGTTTATAGCGCAAACATCTTCGCCAAAATAAGTGCTCAAGGCGCAATGTCTAAAACTTCGTTCCGCAACCTTTTTAGTCCAGAGCCCAAATTAAATGTCAAGAACTCAGACGCGACCCATCGGACCTAAAGACCAAATCTATCACCTGAATTTCATGGTAATATTATTGAATATTATATTTTTTTAAACAAAGTCAATAAATCACGTCTGTCGTTTTATACACGAGGAATATGTCCATAACCAAGACAACTTGATTCTTTTTCAACAAATTAAAAGATATCAATTCATTTATAAAAGCTTTTTCAAATCACCCACAAACTAAACTAAAATGCCATAAAAATGAAAATAATATAACTTTGAATTACTCATAAAACATAACCACATAATTTATTAAATCTTAAGTTAAGTTTAATGGCGAGTTGATTGACCGAGCAGTTAAGTCAGGGGCACCGTAACCTTCAGCTATAATATGGGCGCTGGTTCACACGGCTCGCTCGCCAATGGTTCCGGTGGTGGAACAAGACTTTTTGGATATGTACTTTTAAACCATAGGCCCATCTGTACGCATTTGTCTCGTGTGCACTTTAAAGAACCCAGTACATTCTTCGAGAAGAGTAGGGGGTTACCCTGGTGTATTGATCCATTCAGTCCCCTGTCCCCTGCGGATGTGTGGCATGATGCCACATAGGATACTGCAATTATTGGCATATCTTTAGCGCTCGTGCCTAAAGAAATTAAATGAAATGAAATGAAGTTATTACAGACGTTTAACTACAAAAAATAAATTCTTAAATTTGCTGCCAGAAATATATGGATTATTGGAAGACTAGTATACACACTAATCGACGAGAAAAATAAAAGCCAAACACATTGATATGAGCAAAACTAACACTTTCAAGTCATACTAAAGCACAAATGTTTTGATAGTATATTATTGAAAATGAAACTATTGACAACGCACGCATCACAAATGCACGTTTCTTTACTGTAATTTTGTCTTCGTTCGTATTACATTTCCACAATCTGGAGAGATACGCGACCCATCAAATTTATTTCGCGACCCAAACATTTGGTCGCGACCCATAGGTTGCGGAACGGTGGTCTTAAAATAAAGAACAACAGAAAGGTACAAACAAGAAAAATGTAATACAAGAATCATCATTGTATAACTTACCTTCTCATTTTATCATTAATTAAACCATCCTGTCTTTCGTTATCTTATAATTTCATTTTTTCTTTCCAAATATTTCATTGACTTTTCTTTTTCTTTCTTACATTTCTTTCATTTAATTTTTTATGTTTCCGTTTTTTCCCCTTTTTCTTTTTTTTGTGTTTCCTTTGTGATTCCTTTTCATATTCTTTGCCTCTTCTTTCTTATGTGTCTTATCATTTTCTTTTCCCTTTCTTTCTTGTGTTTTGTTTTTCTTTTTCTTTTCCTATTCTTACGTATGTTTCTTTTTCATTTCCTTTCATTTTCCTTTTCTTTCTTATGATTCATTTTCTTTTTTCTTTTCCTTTTTTTTTCTTGCGTTTCTTATCCTTTTCTTTTTCCCTTTCTTTCTTGTGTTTCGTTTTCCTTTTCTTACTTATGTTTCCTTTCCATCATTGAACAGACATTGTTTTATCAAACATTAGGATAGTTCGTTCTTTTTTAAAGATTTTTAGGAAGGTTTTAACTCCAAATGAATTTGAATTTGAATACCTCAGCCCCAACCGTGGTGAGCCGGCACTAAGATAATCTTGATTCTCCATCTGTAAAACTTCCTCCGTTGGCCAACTCTATTTTGAATTCCTGGATTCGTCACTGGAGATCTTTTTGATCAAAATGAAAAATCCGACAAGGCTTCTTAACAACCAAGCTAGAGCTCGACTTGTGGTATTTTAGTTTGTCTTTTTATGTCCAAATTCGAACCCAGGTTTATTAATCCATTCAATCCCCTGTACCCTACAGATATGCTACATAGGATAGTACAATTATTGGCATATCTTTGGCGCTCGTGCCTAAAGAAATTAAATGAAATGAAATGAAGTTATTACAGACGTTTTACTACAAAAAATAAATTCTTAAATTTGCTGCCAGAAATATATGGATTATTGGAAGACTAATATACGCACTAATTGATGAGAAAAATGAAAGCCAAACACATTGATATAAGCACAACTAAACCTTTCAAGTCATAACTGAAGTACAAATGTTTTGATAGTATATTATTAAAAATGAAACTATTGACAACGCACGTATCATAAATGCACGTTTTTTTTACTGTAATTTTGATTTCCTTTGTCTTCGTTCGTATTACAACATTTCTACAATCTGAAGAGATATGCGACCTATCAAATTTATTTCGCGACCCAAACATTGGGTCGCGACCCATAGGTTGCGGAACAGTGGTCTAAAAATAAAGAACAACAGAAGAGAACAAATAAGAATCATATACATGAACGATGCTCCACCACAGATGCCTGATCAGACACTCCCATAAATCTGACAGTGTATAAAGAGTATTTATTTGTTTTTTCAAATATTTATCATTGATTTCAGGCATTTGTATCTCTCGTTCGGAGGTCATCGAGCGTGGTGCTACAGAGGCCGTTTACAGTCGTATTGTATCGTACCTTGCTGAAGATAAAAAAGCCCGCGTTGTAGTTATTTTTGCCCAAGACGACCAGATCAAGGGATTGCTAAAAGCAAGTAATAACCTTACGGAGAGATTTTTGTGGGTTGCTAGTGATGGTTGGGGGACGAAGGAGTCAATCGTAGAAAGCGGAATGGTGAACAGTGCCGTAGACGCCATAACCGTGCGGCCTGAACGCTTTGATGTTGAAGGTAAGAGCATTTTGACAATTATAAGACGTCTCGTAGTGCCATGTCTATTTCAAAGGTTAAAATATACATCAAAATATTTTAGCACATCCACACGTTATACTGGAGAGTGTAGTAAAGTATGGAAGTGAAGTTATTGTTATTATGTCAGACGAGAGTTTATAGGCCTACATTCTAGATCTGACCTACGTTTGCAGGGGCCGATAGACGGCTAACCGCCGCTACACTCTGAAATTATCCGTCGCTCAATCATGCTTCCGGCGTGACAACCTGCACCACAGTATCAAAAGAATTCGAACCCCACCCCGACCCCAGTTCATAGTGAATTTGAAACTTCCAGGCCAAATTCACTAAACGGGAGTGAAAATTTCACAAAATTCGGGGGCACAGGACTAAAATTCCTGGCAAGTGCTGAATTTACTAAAGGCAAAGGCGCAAACTTTCGGGGTCGGTGTTCCCGTGACACCGGACTGGAAGTAAACAAGCATCGCGCTTCTGAGGGCTACAATACGTTTGTTAATTAAAACTACACACGTAGGTCTACATTAAAAGTAAGGTTTTAACTGAGGACGTGTTAAATATGCTTTGTATTATCTATGACTGTCTAACCAATGAATTAAAATTCATGTTGACTTAAATTGTGGATGAATTATCATGAAAATTCGAGACATAATAGAAAATAATATTAATAAAAGCGATAAGACTCAACTGCCAATTTTTGCAGATTAATGCCATTGTGTCTATTGTGTCTATCATATCGCGTTGCATATTTGACTTAAAGCAGCTTATAAAATATAGTCGATGTTTCTATTTAATAATGCCACTTCGAAAAAAATAATAAAATAAAACAAAATATTTGCGTATACTCACGGTTCTAATTTTTACCACAGCCTATTTCGGGCGTTCCCTTAAGACGTACAATAAACATATTATAATTACAACATGCTTTATTTTTTTGGGGAGAAAAAACACATTACAGTAATATGTAACCTTTCGTATAAAATGCCATATTAATGATGCTGACACACAAAGACAGGCAGAAAGCGCTGAAATGCAAAGACAGATAGGAAAGTATAATACATACTCCAAGTATTCAACACGATGGCGTGTATTTCAATACTTGGAGTATGTATTATACTTTCTTATCTGAGATTAATCAGTGGACCTTTCGGTTTAAAGACAGATAGAAAGCTGTGTTCACCTCGCATTTCCGAAGCGCCGAACGCAAGCGCCCCTATTCTAACACACTGATTTAATTTTCTAATCGGTTCGGTAGACCTTCCGATCCGAAACTTCGGATTCATTGTCAATGCCGGCCACTCACTGCGCCCGACGGTCGTCGGCCGACGCGATTCTATGGAAAACGCAACGCCACGACGCGCGCAACGGATCGTTTTTAATGGCGATTCGTTCAGACTGCCACCAAAAATCAGTAGACGGCGTTGCGTCGTCTAGGGCTTACTGGGAACAGAATTGGATTCGTCGACGCAGCTAGTGCCCGATTTTAAACACAAACTGAGTATCTATTCGGACACTTGATATTGTGTTGTTAGAACTTGCATTGGCAATAAGGTCTTGAGGACAATCCGTTTTATCAACTACAGCTGAACCTCTATGTGCGACATCCTCTCTCATAGGCGACTACGTCTGTTAGGTGAACACTTGCCAATAACACGTTTTGTTTCCCATTCAATCATTAAATAAAATTTGGTAACTCTGCGCGACCGCCTCTCTTAAGCCCGTTTTGCGTAAGTGCCAACCTCCCGTAAAAGTCCATCTCTCGCAAGCGACCGCGACCAATTTGGGCTTAAAAACTTGATTTATCTTTGGTATTTTACATCTAGTAAGCGACCATCCCAGAAGGTCGTTGTATTGATCATTTCTACAAGAGACCCAAAATCAATATAGGCCTTGGTCTCCACTCGGATTGTACTCGCGTAGGCGACACTTCTCGTAAGCGACGACTCGTAAGGGACGACTTTACCTGGATCCGATGGTGGTCGCCTAATACGCACGAGAGTCTTAACTGTATATATCATTTGTGAACGGCGAGTTCGTTGACATGAAACACGTAGCTGGCCTCATTCAAATATATCCGTCTGATGTACAGACATTGAAATTAAATAATATAGATTAATTTAGAAAGCTATGTCGGTTGGTAGGTTTTTGAGTAGATAAATGTAGTCAGCTATTCGCCATTGGTATTGGAGGAGACGTCGAGGAAATGCCACTTAAGTACATTCGAACGTTTATGGTGGGATGAAATGAGTTGAGTTAACATTGATTTGAAAGAGATGAGTATCGTCAATGTCGTGGTTATAGATAAAGAAAACATCATCGATTTATTTGACGTGTTAAAAGGGTTTCATTTAAAAGCAAGAGATGTGTTCCTCATTGGAGGACATCGCCGTTTCTACCGCTGTACCACTGGCTTTATGTAGTATGTAGATAAATGTTCGGTGAGAAAAAAAAATGTTATAATGTGGTATGGAGGAAATGATTTGTTGCTATGGAAATACTCAAGGGTGGCAATGTGAATAATTTGAAAATAATGATACAAAAGTGTAAGTTTATCGATCGAAGTGAAACATAAATAGTAATGATAAAAAATGGGGAAGCTTGTTATTGAGTACCGTGCTTCACTATTTCTCTTTTCTTTTCTTTGTTTTCCCCTCTCTGTTTTGGTGGACCCAGCTCACGTTTCCCCCTACCTCCAAAACTAATGTAGGCCCATTCTTTTAATTGAATTTTTTGTGTTAACTGCCTTTAATGGAGGCGACAGTGACGGGCTCATAGGAGTTTTCACGTCATCTACTGAACATGATGATGGGATTTATCGATATACAAGAGAATTTTATTAATAAGATTGCAACATAGGCCTAGCAACAGAGTGTTCATCGTGGTTTTACACCTAAAGGTGAAACAATACGCACAAGCCCGATTTTTAGGAATATGTACGCGGCCGTATACACAATTTTGTTTTAGAGAGAGAGTGAAATAATCAGAAAATACAGAATACAGAGAAATATAATTCAATAAATGTATCTACCACAAGGATGAAATGTTTGAATCAACGGCGTTTATGTAGGCCTATAATCCTAAGTAATCTCAATCACGATGCGTGCTCTAGGCCAGAACAGTACTTGAGGTTTCAAAACACTTTATCCAGGTTATTTGGCCGTTATGCTCTTTAGAATATCTTCTAACTCTAACGAAGTTTATCTTTTCCTTTTATTTGAAAGTCACCATTTTCTTTACAAATTCTTCTGAGACGAATTAATTGGTAGGCACAGAGGCGGATTCGGGGGGGGGGGGCGGACCCAGTCCCCCTTTCCAATCTCCATCAGACAGTGTGTTACTTTAAACTCGTTCAAATCCAAGTTTTTAATTAATTTAACATGAAATCTTTATTGTTTTTTTATGTACAGCGCACTGAGAGCTTGCTTACTTGCGCTATATAAGAATGAACTATTATTATTTTATTATTTTTAAAAGTAAAAAAAAAACAAAAAAACAAAGGAGAAAAAGTAAGAAAGGTAAAAAATATTGATTGCCCAAAACTCGGACTCCCTGGAGGATATTTACTCCCTGAGTAGTGTTGCTTCTCGATTGCACCCACCACCCCACCCCCATCCCCTCGATTTTCGGACATTTCTAGATCCACCCCTGATGCCTAGTACGAAATACAGTTCTTAGAGGATTATATTAACAGGCTTCGCTACTGAAGTAGGTACCCAGAGTAACGTTATTAACGTTATAATAATGAAATACGTCTACCATTTATTATCCAATTACTGTGCTGTAATATAAAAATAACGATTCGTATCGGAAATGGGAAGCACGTTTACTCCACCAGCGGGTTTGTCTCATCAATCATACCTGAACTGTTCGAAGACTTACATTAATGCAACCCTTGAGAATAGAGGGCAGAAGTCACGTGATTCAACGAGCTTGTTTGCGTCTACTGTTTTTATCTTACTCTTAAATGCATTGATGAATGAAGACGTATGGCGATAATTACAAGAACAATACCTGTAAGCCTGATCATAATCGGTCTAACAATACCCCTAATGAAATAGAGTATTATAAGTATCAAACGAATATATAACAGGCCTTGTAATAACAGTAGGAATAATAATGATGATGATTATGATCATCACCTACTTTAAGTTCCTTCAAGAGTAAATTATAGTTGATCACGACCTTTTGAAAAACAACTGTTTATATTTAAACATTTGAAAAGTTATTCATGAATAAATATTGGATTGATTGATTAATTAATTGATTGATTGAAGATAATGATGATAATGAAGGTGACGATGTTGATGATGATCTTGTAATAACAGTAGGGATAAAAATGATGATGATAATGATGATGATGATGATGATGATAATCATGATCATGATCATAATCATGATGATAATGATGATGATCATGATAATCATGATGATGATGGTGAAAATGATAATGATGATCATTGTTTATTTTTTTCTTTTTCAGTTTTATTTAATATTCGATTGGCAGCAAAAAATCTGAATTGCATTAAATTTACAATTAAATATTCAATACACTGAAAAGACCCAACAATAAAAACAATACAATTCATGCAAACAAAATACATTTTTGATTAAAATTATCAGATACTACTGTAAGTGATTATTATTTTTGCAATATAATAATACGAATGAAGACTCAAGAAAAAATTGGGGAAAATGAATCAATCGTTATCATGATGCTGGGCATGTTGATGATAATAGTGATGATGGGTCATGTTGATGGTAATGATGATGGTGGTGATGATGATGATGATGATGATGATGATGATGGTGACCATGATAATGATGACGAATAATAATGGTGATAATAACGACGTCGAAGACAATGATGATGATGATGGTGATGACCAATGACCATGACGTTGACGATGATGATAATAGGGAGTTTTCGCAAACTTACTAAAACGATAACGAATACGGTTACGTCATCAAATTTTAGACAACCT